CCCCAGGTTTGATCTGTGCCAATAAGAAATGTTCATGTGATTATTTTAAAGAAGTTCTGTTATTGGCTGCGCTTTAATATTTTCACTGTACCCATGGTGCATTGAGAGTCAACAGATTAAAGTGATGGAAAGCAGACTTAACAAAAAAAGAAACACATTTAATATACATAGTCCTGATGTGGATTAGTTACTGACAAATCATATCAATGTTCTACAACAAGAACAGTTTATCTGAGTCTGACTTGAGATGATGGTAACTCAGAGTGAAAGTGAGTCGCGTTGAACATTTAGACATTTTACCTCTAAAGCATTCTGCAGAGTTTCTTGATTTCCAATAAGAAGTTGCTTTGTTTCGCTCAAACTTCCCACCAGACAAAAGTAAATGAAACCCAGGAGGAAAACTTAAGTCAGGTCTGTTTCAGTTCACTGTGGCTTCATTGTACAAACAGGAACCTGTCACTTCCTCCTAATAAATCAGTTCTGCCTCCATGTGCGGGTAGATATTCACAGTGAGTCCTCACAGGCTCGTCCACATGTACAGATTCAGTTCTCGCCCACGGAGCCGCTCTGTAACAGCTCACCTCCAATAATATTCAATGGCAGCAGAGAACGCAGCAAAACCTCCACATCCCAAGACTCCAGCTTTCAGACCAGCTGCAAAACAGAAGAAAAAAACCTATCAGAAATAAAATACCTTTAATTTATAACATGAGAGTAAATGTGTCAGGTCACATACCACGGAATCCAATCGCTCCTCCTGTTACACAACCGCTGTACACTGCGTTCTTCCAATCAGATTTACCTCGGTGCTGCAAATCAAAAGAAGAAACAAAAAAGATAATGGCAAGATGGCTAATTAAAAATTAGGAGTGAAGGTTTTTACAACACTTTAACACCAGGGGGAGCTGTCACACCACTTGGAGAAGGAGCTCTACGATAACATCTGTCAGGAAATGTAGAAGAAAAGGATTTGTATTTCCTTAAATAATTAGTATTTAAGTACTTGTATAGCTTCAGTCCAAATACTGTTAGAGATCTGTTGAAGCAACACTGTGAAACCAAACTATTATTTCTGTACACTTACACAAACATGAATCAAACACGACAATTATTAAATACAATTACTAACACCTCCACACAGACTCTCCATGAGTTTCATTCATCAACATTGTTTTAACTTGGAAATACTTTTCCATTTCTACATGTCTCTGCCATTTTTCGTTGTGATTGTTTACGTCTCCTATCGACATAATTAATGTTTCAGCTGTTTTCTTTTATTTTACACTCATGTTCACATTGGGTACTTTTGGAGCGATGTTAAAACCTCCCCATCACACTGAACACACCCCACTCATGTAGCTGTGTAACTTTCATTTTGAATATTTGTTGTTTTGCTGCAGAGAACATGGGACATTATGAAATTCACTTTATCTAATTTATTTCTTTACTTTAAGCTCCTGCAAGATATCTACTTCATTTATTCTTTAATATCTAAATCAGATTGCACAGATAACTGATGTGTAGTATCATATTTCAATGATTGCTGTTGTTTTTTTACCAGTGTGTTTATATCCACCACATAATGAAGACACCACGAGGAGCAGCCAGAGTTGCGACCTACCGATTCTATGATGCACTCTGTGCAGGAGAACATGGCGCCCACGATGGCAAAGTTCTTGGCGTAGGACATGCCCCTCTGACCCATGTCTTTGAGGACTTCTCGAGCTGTCGGAGTTCTCAGGGGGTCTTTAGGATCGAAGCCAACGTTGGTGTCGATACCGGCTGTGAAAACACCAAAAGCTCCTCCAAGAACAAACCCTGTGGAGAGAACGCACACACCGACATGAGAAAAAAATTAAGCACGAGTGAATCTGCAGACTTGAGGAAGAAATGATTTACACACACACACACACACACACACACACACACACACACACGCACGCACACACGCACACGCACACAAAGGGCTCATGGACATGCAATGTGGAGAGAGATGGTGGAGTGATTTTTGGGTGACCTATCCCTTTAAAGATGATCAGTTGACTGTCTCACAAGACAAAGACAGGTAGAGAGGACACTGGGGCTGGATCATGTCCTATGATCATGTCCTATGATCATGTCTCACATCAGCTCTGATGTTAATCAACTGCTTATTTCTGCAGCACATGATGGAAACATCCAATAAAAACACCTTCCATATGTTGAGCCCTGAGCCCAGAAACTATATAATACATCCTGCATGACGTAAACACATACCTGTATATGATAACCTGTATAATGCTCAGACTGTATATAAAGAGTAGATACAGCTGATGTGTATTTACCTCCCACACAGGCCAGCAGAGACTTGAAGGCGCAGCTCTCCATGCCTCTCTCGATCATCTTCTGCTCGTCGCTCTTCGGAGGCACCGGCAGTCCTCCCATCACCCCGGGGCTCAGCTCCTTCAGCGGCCGTTTGTCCCCGATCAGGTGCTCCAGCATCAGGCTGTACTGGATGGTGTCCAGATCCGGAGCCGCCGGGCCCGGACCTTGTGGGTCGGAGGCAGCAGCGCCCGCAGGTCCCGTGGAGGCGGCCATGTTTCTCAATGACAGAGCCTTACGTAAATGTAGCCCGCGCTACGACAGGCGTCTGCAGATTCGTCACATTTCTAACGCCCGACAACAGAAACAAGCAAAACAGAAATAAATGTAATTATATGAATGAAAAGTAAAAGTTGAAAATATATGGAGATATTTTAATATTACTATTATTATGTTCCGACGAAAAGTTCTACTGAGATTATTGTCAACAGATTCGACACAAAGGGAACACGTGATTTAAACAGCCAGTGACGTAGATCCTCCAATAACGCAGGTGATTCAAACCTCAGCTTGTTTTAATATTTTAA